CACTGCTGAAGTCATTTTCTTAATGAAGAAGGTTATGCGCAGCAGAGAGAGACGAGCTGAGATGTTTCAGACCTAGGACGAACCAGTTTTCTCCATTGACAGCCCAGAAACGAAGAAAGAGAGGTCACGAACACTGCTGAGATGTTCACGAACTGAAGTAGGTCAGGAACCTTGCTCTGATACCATGTTTCGACTGCTGCTATAATAACCCGAACCAGCAAGAGGAAGAAGAAGAAGGAAAATGAAGGGACTGCCGAATCTCACAGATTAACCCTATCAGTCGACCCCTTAATAATAATTAGTCTCTAATTACTTGTACAAAGACTAAACTGCCCATACTTAAGTGTGGGGCAGAGTGTCTCTAATAAAACTGCCACATAATCATACAACTTAACAAAGACAAGTTGACTAAACTACCCTTATTCGGCTCATTCTAACAGGTTGGTTACTGTAGCTTCAAATATTTATTATTTTCATTGTTTATCCACTAAAAGCAATGTAATATGCCATTCAGTTCAGCCACTAAAGGCGTTGTCAAACTGCCCCTAAGAGCAAATGCCCCCACACATCCTTGATAGACATGTAAAATTCATATACTTATTGCTCAATTATGCATGTAAGCTCGTATAATTACATACTTATAATGCATATTTTATATATATATATCTACTTGGGTTTATTGAACCATCAGATTGTCCTGTATCACTGTCCTAACTTTGCCTTAAGATTGATTTTTCCGAAAATGTGACTTGGTTCAGTGTCTCAATCATTGTTCTATTTCTTTTTTGTTCTTTTTCCTTCTTTCTTTCTTCTTCTTCTTCTTGTTGCAGGTTCGCTATGAGGAAATCATATCTGATCCAGCTTATTTGGATGGGGTTTTGCTAGAAGGAGCTACAAAAGCTACCTGTATAGCAGATGCTACTCTCAATAGTGTGTACCAAGCGATGGGGTTTGTGCAAAGATGAACTAAGTTAGTGCTGCATAAAGAATTCTTGTGAAAGGTCAGTAAGAAAGAAACCTTAATTTTTTCTCCAATTTCTTTTTTTATTCTTCTGAAATGGAAAAATATAGTTGTATTAATTTTTAGAAAGAGTTTAAAGATGTATATCAGATGCTTTTAATGAAATTAAGATGTACACTGTACTTTCTTAACATCTTTTCAAATTGAGTATCCATAAGTCCCAACTTTAACTGGATTAACACCATGATTGTCAAGTATCATACATAGCCTTGATTGCCTTTCTTCATTGACTATCTGGCTCTGGAATGAATTATCCCCATCTGCTCAAGCCAGTATGTCTTGATTAGTCTTAGATATCTTACTTCCATTGCCCTATCTGCGCAAGCCTTCTTCTGATTGATCAAGGGGGACATGAGTTCATCCTTCCGTTCTAAATGAAGCCCCTACGATTTTTTTTCCAGTTTATTAACTGCTTCAACCATGATAGGAAAAAGAGAGAGGAAGTTGCCAAATTTGACCAGTATCTTGCCTTTGAAGAAGGTAATCTTCTTTGAAGATGGTCTAACATTGGCTTGTAAATCAATTTTGAATACATCTTACCCCTAAACATAACCACAGCTTGGGTAATAGGCTGGATGCAAACAAACAGTTTGGGCACCTGATCCCTTAGACAATCTATAAGGGAAATTATGCACCTAAAGAGGGAGCTTGAAGTCTGTTTTAAATGGACTAAGAGATCAGCCAATGCAATAGCAAACACTTTAGCAAAGCAAGGAGTTAGTAGGGAAAAACCTTTTCTGGGTGTCTTTGTAATTTATTTTATGTTGAGGGGTCACCTTGCTTATGAAGGTGACAGTTCCCACTAAGTCTCCTTAAATTAATGGAAGTTACCGTTTCCCATTAAAAAAAAAAAAAAAAAAAAAACATAACCACAGCCACAGGTATTGACATCACTCTTGGAAATGTTAACACAAAGGCCTGATATAGCTTCTAACTAGTTTACTACATATGATCTAATAGATGCTCCTGCCCAACATCACAAAAAATAGGGTATCCTCGATAGATTGTAATAGAGTTATTTTTTGGCCATTGGCCCCCATGTCAAGAACCCCAATGTAACTGCTTTCTGCTGCACAAGTTATCAATTTCCAAGGCTAGGCTTCTACCGTACAAATAGAAAATAATGAAGAGGTTAGTCACCTTGCTAAAGACCTCTTTAGGACTCAAAGAGACCTTTTATAAACCTATTCAAGTGAATAGAAAATTTTGGAATTATGTTTTTCTGGATCCTTGACAAGAAGGTAAAGTGAATTTATCACATTTTATTCACGTGGATAAGGTCTTGGGAATTATTTTGTTAATGCTCCAAAATAAATTGTGAAGCCTAGAATCTTGTAGCTCAGGATGCCTCTTTTTTTAGAATAAAGCATTGGGCACGGTGTCTAAGATTCTTTTAAAAGGTTTGTTTTAATGATATTCCTATATTGCTATTAATACATCATATTTTACAATGGCCCAACATTTTTACGAAAAGTCACATCAAAACTGTAGAGATACAGTATGCCAGATCTGATGTCTATTTATTTTTTATCTGTTGTTTTCCCATACATTATGACTTATGTTGTTTTCTATTGCTGGTTTACTGTGCTGTTATAGGCGGCAGGGTATTATTGTCTTTCTACTTGTTATTGTGGTTGCTCATATAAATAATAATGATTGGGACGTGTAGAGAAGATGGGCCGAATGGCCTATAGACTGTTTTCTTATTTTGTTTCTTTATGTTCTTTGCTGTAATGGGCCTCAAGTTGGGCCTTTTCTCTTATGTTATGTACTTTTAATTATTCGCCCAACTAAGGGCTTCTTTGTAAATTACTGAAATTAAGTTAATGAAAAGGGAAATCTCTCTCTGAAACCTTATTGCCGCCATCTTCTTCTTCCTCTTCTCTCTTCTTGAATCTTGATTTCTGCTGTTCTCAATCACTTTTTTACAGCTTTTTAAACAGTCTATTCATTTTAGAAGGCTGTTTTTATTCTTGGTATCAGAGCGGGTTCTTCTTTTCTCTCTTTTCTCCTCTTTCTTCCCATACACAGTGTGTATGGAGAACTGAATCGGATGAATAGTTGAAGAAATAGTTTTCAGCCTAGTTGTTAGTGGTTTTTGGAGAAAAGGAGGCTATCTTTTTCGTCCTCTTGACAGTATCAAGTGTGCTGCCCGAAACCCTAATTAACTGGAGAAATCTGCTTGCGGGCCCCATAGGGAGTTTGACCTTGGCGCTTAGTGACTGAAAGACTCCTTGTTTTTCATCTTGAAGATCGATTCAAGTTGCTCATGTTCTGTGAAGTCTACAAGGTGCAGTTGGGTTTTTTCTGATTCTCCCAGGTTCCGGGTGTGATGCAGTCAACAGGTACGACTGCATAGAGGTTGATTCACAACACAATTTTTTTTTCTGTCTTCATTGATTGTTATTTGAAGTTCGTAGAAGCTATTTTTGAAGTGTTTTAAGAAGATGTACCCTTCGGAAGTTGAAAACAAGCATGTTGCTGAATCCGAACAGGTTCTAGGAGCCTATGTTGACTCTCTACTGGCTGTGACCACAATCAAGCTAGATGGAACTAATTATCTGGCATGGTCACAATCAGTAAAAATTCATATATGCAGTAGAGGCAAATGGGGTTATATCTCCAGGAGCAAGAAGGCTCCCTTGGAAGATGATCCATCATCCATCCTATGAAAATGGATGCAAGAAAATTATATTGTAATCAGATGGTTTGTGAACTCGATGCAACCTCAAATTAGTCAACACTATTTGTGGATGAATTCAGCAAAAGAAATATGGGATAGTGTGGCTGAAACCTATTCCCAGAAACTAAATGTAGCTAGAGCATACAAGCTGAGGAGTGATGTGAAAAATTTAAGGCAGGGGGAGAAACCTTTGGCTGTTTATTTCTCAATACTGAAATCTCTTTGGCAAGAAATTAACTTGATGGAAACTGTAGCTTGGGAAAGTTCTAATGATGCTGAAACCTACAGGAAACTAGTTGAGAGAAACAGGGTGTTTGAGTTTTTGACGGGGCTGAATCCCGAGTATGACATCACAAAGTAGAACATCTTATCCAAGGATGGTGTTTCATTGTCTCAAGCCTATGCCTTGGTAAGTAGTGAAGAAAGCAGGAGACTTGTCCAGGTTCAAGGGGCTGGTCTAAATGATCACTTTGCTAACATGGGGCTGAAACCTAAGGGAATTACAGGAAATCCAGGTGGCTCAGGGAAGAAGGAAGTTATTTGTGAGTACTGTAAGAAACCAAAACACACAAAAGACAAGTGTTGGAAATTGCATCCGAAGCTTATTCCCCTTCGTTTTCAAAAGAAGTCTGATAATATGAAGGTAGGAAGTGTCAATATTGTTGCTGGTCTAGATAGTGACAGATGCCTAACTGAAGAGATGACTGCTAGTGAGCAGTTAGCAGTTATGAAGGCAGAGTATGAGAAGTTTGGAAGGATGATCAGTCACCTAGAGGGTGCGGCCTCTTCTTCTAACCCTCCAGGAAATTCAACCTCTTCTGCATTTGCTCATTCAGGTATATGGGCTTCTGCCAATCATGCAACTATCTCAGGTAATTGTAGGATCCCTTGGATTATTGATTCTGGTGCTTCTGACCATATGACCAGCCTTTCCACCTTGTTTATTTCTTATGATTTGCTTCCTGGAAGTGATAAAATCACCCTAGCCGGTGGCTCTCTTCCTCCTATCTCTGGCAAGGGAAGCATCAAGGCTACAAATTCTTTGGTACTTCCTTCTGCTCTTCATGTACCCAAACTGAATACGAATTTGTTATCTGTAAGCAACTTAACTAAGTCTTTGAATTGTAGTGTAACATTTTTTCCTTCCTACTGTGTCTTTCAGGATCTAGAGTCTCAAAAAGTGATTGGGAGTGGCCATGAGGTGAATGAAATATATCTGTTGGATACTCCTTGACAGGGCCAATGACAACTTGGGAAAGCTGCCTTTGGATCTACATCTTCAGAGTCTGTCAGTCGTGTCATGTTATGTCATTTTCGTTTGTGTCATATTTCTTTTATTGCATTGAGTCATTTATTCCCAGAACTATTTAAGGGAATTAGTTTGTCAAGTCTTCATCGCGAGTCTTGTGAGTTGTCAAAACATTGTAGAAGCAGTTACCCTTTGAGTAATAAAAGATATTCTTTTCCATTCCATATTGTGCACTCTGATGTGTGGGGGCCTTATCACTTACCCTCTATGGGACTACAAATATTTTATTTTGTTCATTGATGATTTTTCACGATATACTTGGATATTTTTGATGAAGTTCCCAAACTTGTGAGGCACTTCCATGAATTTGTTCTAACCCAATTTGATACTAGAATCAAAATTTTCAGATCCGACAATGCAAAAGAATATTTTGAGGAAACCCTAACCTGCTATCTCACTATTTGGGGGTTATTCACCAAAGTTCCTGTGTTAGGACTCCAGAACAAAATGGAGTTGCTGAAAGAAAAAACTGGCGTATTGTTGAAGTTGCAAGAAGTATCCTATTTGCCTCACATGTCCCTACAAGATTTTGAGGGAGATGTTGTTCTCACCGCAACCTACCTAATCAATTGTATGCCATCCAGAGTGTTGGGGTTTAAGTTTCCTTTCAGTATCCGGGCAAGGACCTTTTTCCTATTCCACTTCGTGTCTTTGGCTGTACTTGTTATGTACACATTCCAAGTTTCCAGAGACATAAATATGAACCAAAAGCCCATAAGTGCATTTTCCTTGGTTATTCCCCCACACAAAAGGGTTACTGTTGTTTTGATCCAAAGGCTAGAACTCGGTATGTCTCAATGGATGTCACCTTTGATGAGCTTTCTTATTTTTATGATCCTCCTTAGGAGAGACATTGTCCAAAGGGGGAGAATTTGTCACAGTTGTTTGCTCTCCCCCTTCCTGTCCTAGTTGAGTTTTCTTTTGAGCCTCTTCCTTATTCAAATGAGTCAAGGGAGGATCAGTCATCTCATTCTCATTCCAATGTTCC